AGAAAACATTGCAATTTCAATAAAAACGGCGTCGAAAATGTTGTTTTGTCTCAATAAATTTAAGATTTTGCTAGGTAAAAATGCGGTATGTGCAGTATGTGCTACATTTTCAACAGAAATTAATAGAAGAACCAAAACATGTACATCCTACACATGATATTTTGGATGTTCTTAAAGGTTTTTTTTTACTAGTTTTTTATATATTGTGTTGCAAATAATATTTAATTGTTGTTTAATTTAAAACAACGCATGTAAACACATTTTAATTTGTTAAAAACATCGATTTCAACGCTTCTGCTAGACAAGAAAGCCGTATGTGGTCACATCCGGCGTTTATACTATGTACCTCTTAATTAAATACATGTACATAAGTCTGCTAAGTGGCACAATAATAGAAATTTAAAATGTACAAATTTTTAAATTTAAAAAAACAAAAACGATATTTTTGATATTTATAGATGGGTAATGTATAATGCGATATAGATTTCAAAAATGTAATTTTTTCAATTTGTCACACAAATGGAAATATAAGGTCTTTTTCCGGAGTAGGGCAGTATAGTATAATTAAAGTAACATACAAGAAGACAAAACTATTAGTTACATATAAAATTTTACTTTGTAAACAGTTTCTTCTCGAAAATAAACAAACGAATCAAGGAATTTGAATGATGCAAAGATCTGCCGATTTTAATCCTTTCTTTCGCTCGATTGATCGATGCTATCACAGGGGAACGGGATGCGCACGCAAACCAAATGGGGCGCTCGCGCGCGCCATGCGCTATGTCTCTAAACGGACGTGTTCTATTCAAAAATTTCCCGCGCGGGAATTACCGCACAAAAGCGGGAATTCCGCAGGTCTCATTGACATGCGGGAAATTGCTGGAATGCTGTAACGCGGAATGCGGGATTGCAAACCCTAGACAAAAACCTTCCAGAGTTAGGTTTTGCTTTAAGAACGGCCGTACACGAGATAACGGGGTACAGTCCCGCATACTTAAATTTTGGTCGGCAGCCGTATATATCCGGAAGAATGCATGCCGTAGAAAATGCCGACGGGACAATTGCTTTCGATGAAAGAAGGTTACTTGCTGAACACGGTGATAATATGCGTGAAGTATTTAAGACTGTGCAGGAGCGTCTAGCTACGTTCTATGGGGAAAGCGCTTTGTCCTTACAAGTAGGGCAGACGGTTTGGAAGAAGAATTACACGTTGTCCGATAAAGCAGATTATTACGCCGCTAAGTTAGCTCCTAAGTTTATAAAATGTACTGTCGTCCGTAAAATTTCTACGAATGTATATGAGTTGGTGAATATCGAGACGCGTCGCTCATTAGGTAATGTACATATTAAAGATATTAAAATATATTAAAGGGGAGGTAGAGATTTTTTTGTTGTTGTTTTTTTGTAAGCGAGGATGGTGTAACAATTTTTCAACAAGGCCGCTAGTAGAATCTTATAGTTGCCGATAAAATAAATTTGCGTTCGATACTCTTAACGACCTCTGTTGAATACACGGAGTAATAAGCTTTTTTTTTGTGAAAAACACTAAAACTTTTATCGCGCCGAAAAAAAAGCGGAGGCCAGGCTACGCCGGGTGAACGTGGAGAAAAAGCAAGTTTTTGGCAAGACGACAGCGGTACGGAAGCAGAACTAGTCGTTTAGAACGGATAATAATTCCTTACCCTGGGATTAAGGGAGTCGGTGAAGTAGATACATGTGGTAAACGATCTCCCTTTATTTGATTGTCAGTGTTAGCAAGATACAAGTCTTGGAAGCGGTAAAACGTCTTCTCGAAAGTTAGGGGCTCGGCTTGGGAAGGTAAGCGTTGGACGTTTAAGTTCTCGTGTCAAGTTATTTTGTATTTCTCCGTTATCTAAGGCAAAATTTAAAAAAAAAAAGAAAAATTGTTTACACCGGGTTTTTTATTGTTCTGCTCCTGTTATGCCTATGTGTTATGGGCGATTGGTCAAGGGGCGTTCCGAGAGCAAGCTAGTAAAAGGAGTGCAAAAACAATAATAATAGGAAATTTCATGGTAACAACAGGGTGGTACGATCCGAGGAGGCCAGTATTAAACTTCCATTCCGCCCTGGGTGAACGAGCACATCGGGAACCAAGGCTGAGTACCTCATAGAGGCCCGATCTTTTTTTTTTATTTTGTCGTTGCGAAAAATGACAAACCAATAAAATGAGTACACCCCATTTTTTTTGAGTACACTTACCGTCCTGTTTTTTTAGTTATACCACCCGAGATTTATAGAATTATATATATATATTCATGTACTTGGTAATATACCTGTATTGGGATTTCTCAAATGTTTTTTTTAAAAGTAAAGCTAAGGCCGTATTAGTAGTTTTATGGTCATACCGCGTGGAAAGCTAGCCGAGAATAAATATTACCTTTCATTTATTTCTTCTTAAACTACTTGGCGCCCTCATTTTTTTTTAATTGAATTGATATGTTTTTTTCTTATTTTGATTGAACCCACCCCGTGAACCTACCTACAGGCACATTACTTGTGGTACTTAACCAAGTAAAATAAAATAATCGGAGGCGTCTGGAAATTAAAATATACACAGGCGGCCGCGAACGCTGTTATAGATTTTGGCGCCCAACGTGGGGCCCGATTTTACATAGTTTTGACCTGTTTGTTTTGGTTCTGTTTATTTGAAATTTTGTAAACTTCGTTGGGGGTGTACTGTAAAATTTAACAATTATTTTTTCTTATCATTAAAATTTTTTATAGTTTATCATTATAGTTAATATTTCTTTTAATTCCAATGCTTTTTTATGTAGTTCATAGAACATGTTTTACAACTTATGTTTAACGCATATTTCACGTTTTGTTGCCATGGTCTGCTTGTCATTTTAGACGATATATTATTTGAGTACAGTTTGACTGTACGAAGTATTTTATGGTTTAGAGAGTTTGTATTACGCTAATGTCTTGCATTTATGTATTAGTTGGTATAATTTAAGTTTGTTATTTGATATTTACTGTATAAGTGGTTGGTTTATACAATTTTGTATCAACTCGTTGGGTTACGTTCGATTTGCAACCCCTATTGTAAAGGTTTATGAAGTGTTTTATTAATTAGGTGTTACTTGTTATTGTTAGTTAAGGTTTTCCGCTGCAGCTAAGACAATATTTACGTTTGTGTCGCAGTTATTGATATTTACTTTTATGCTTTGCAATTGTGTATATGCAGGGTGGTCCATAAAAGTTATAGCTAACACTTTTTGTTACATATCAGTTAGGTAACTGAATTGGCGCTACAGTATTAGTTGACCAAGCATAGGTCTAAAGTATTTTTTTGTGAGTAGATGATATGTCGGGCATAAACAAAAATAATCCTTTATAGAAAAAGTAATAAATAAGTTCTTGGGCTTAAATTACTTTAAATTAAAATTTTTATTTAGTTTAATTGTAAGGAATTCCATATAAGAACTTAGAATATTTGTGAATTTTTTTATTGTTATGGCCACTCTGTATGGTTGAATAAAGTAAAGTTAAGGTTAGTAAATTTTAAATATTATTTGTCAAGGGTGAACTATTTTATTGCTTTTCGATTTTTATAGGACCTTGATTTTTCGGTTTATTTGCACAAATTTAAAGGAAAAACCTAGCAGTAATGGACAAATTAACCAGAGATGAAGTAGCCTATGAGTTAAAGGTTAGAGGTTACGATAACCTTGAGGCGGAATCGGTTTTTTCTATGCGTAGACAGCTTAAAGAAGTTACGCGAAATGAAAGCTTCGGTCAAGCTATCAATTCAGAGAATTTCAACCCTGATGTTACCGATGAAATCGAAATATGCAACCGTAAAATTGTTGACTTAGGAACTTATGTAGCCAACCATACTTTTGATTCGATTACGTGCAGTAATATGCGTTACGTTGATGCGAAACTTAAACATTTATACGCNTAAGAAAAAAACCAGTGATGTATTTGGGATTGCAGTCAATAGTGCTAAGGGCTAATGTAATAAGAACACTCTGTGTTGTTGTCAAGCTTTCGGAAATGTTTATTTCCTTTCTCAAGACATCTATAAGAAATGACAAAAATGCTTAGAATAATAAGTTATAAAAGCTTATTATATACTTACAAACGTGAGATTATAATATAAAAACCATCAAAAACGAACTATACAAGAACATTGTTGTTAAAATTTTATGAACTTCACTAGATTAAAAACAATTGTAACTATAGTCAAACATTCTTTGCGTGCACACACCTTTTTGTTTGCTTGTTAGTCTCTATTTCTTATCTCTATTTTATCTTTCTGTCTCATCTTGATTGGTGGGGAGCTTTTAGTGAAGAACAAGAAGAAATAATGTACCAGGAACAAAGAAATCAAGTTGTTTGGGGCAAGAATATTTTAGCAGACTAATGCTGGAATCTAAAGAGACACACAAATAAAGCACATAAAAAAAGCGATTCGAAGATAATTCCAGGAACAACGTAAACGTTCTCGCCGAATTTCGATTATTATACTTATACTGAGAGAAGCGAATTGAATTTCAAAAGTTTTTTTAATATAGTTTTTGTACATTCACTCAAAACCGAGAGAGGATGGTAGGCAGAAAGGTAAGAAGACACTGTCAGTGGATATTTAGACAGAGGGTTGCAGAAACACAGACAAATAGAAACATTTAGTTATTTAGTCATACAGGAAGATAAACAAAATTACCGACAGAAGGGCAGATAGAAAGGCAGGATGTTAGGTAGATGGACAGAGAGAAAATAGTGGCGGACGATACATACAGACTGACAAGCAAACAAACACGTGTGCAGGTAAAAAGGAAGACCTATAAACAGACAAAATAGGAAGGTGAGCATTCATATTTTTTTTTCAATTTTTCACCTACTATTCTTACCTTAACCTTCAAACGACCTTGAACATGAGGTAAGGTGGCATCGGATACAGACACAGTGACCCCAAAAAACCTATGTATGAATTTATTTAGATTCTTTCAACCACCTTTACTTAGTTTGACCTTAAAATGACCTTGAACATGACGTGATAGAGCTTAACCAACCACGGCATCCGACTCAGCGACCCCAAAAACAACTGGGAACCTAGGTAGAATCCGGTGGTTTTTTTTTTCAAACAAAATGTTGACCTGTGTAAATAAAGAAATTTTTAATTTATAAAATTCTTGTTTATTCTAGAAAGAAGTCATGTGTATTTTAGTCATTTTAAAAGCCTTAATTTAAAAAATATACTTCTTTCTTCGTGAAAAGTCTTGAATACAGGCTGTTACAAATTCGCTTCTCACTACATGGATCTCGAAAACGGTAAGAGATACAAACTAGCTTAAATGGTGGCAAAGTTGCATAATCAGGGGACCAACATTAAGCCTCCAAAACATCAAGGCTAACATGATTAGTTTTCGAAATATTTGGAAAAAAAAACGCAATTTTGGAAATCCGTTTTTCTTTCATTTCAGCCTTGTTTGAGGTGATATAGAAAAAAGAACATTTTCTCATGATCACTTTCTGCCCTTTATCGAATGGAATAATCAATTTTTATATGTAACGTTTCGTTTCTCCAGGACCATCATCAACTTAATTTTTTTAAATACGACCCTAGAAATTTTATTACATTTTTTGCAAGCCTTAATAACCTCCAATACTGCCTCAACTCGAACCAGATTGAGACGTTTTGTCTCGAAAAATTCATATTCAGTGTATTTGTTCCAAATTTATCTAAATTTGTTATTTAGATTTCTTTGTTTATTGAATTATCATACGCTGTAAGTGCCTGTGAAATCCATCTAGTTATTTAAACTATTATCAACCAAGCATTAAAATAAAAAGTTTTATTTCCATGTCCATAATTATTTCTAGGCTTCTCGAGTGCTCAAAATTCAAACAAATTCCGATCTACTCTTTTCAGGATATTCATACAATTCATCTGGCATGCCCTTTCACAGTTGCGGTTACAGATATAATAAATTCCGATATTGAACATTTGCCAAAACGAAAATGTTTTACTGAAATTTTTTAAAGAATGATATTAAGTTGGCGTTTTGGTTGCATGCATTTTTAAGAATTAATTTATCATAATAAAATTCAAATTGTAATAATTAATTTTGACATTGAGTTATGTATGACCAAGTGATGGTAATAGTTAATAATAATAAATGTTTTATTGTAAGGCGTGGTAGTTAATAGTTTAAATAACTAGAGGGATTTCTCACGGTCTAACGACATTTACAGTGTACGATAATTCAATAAACAAAGAAATTTAAATAAAAAATTTAAATAAAAAATTTAAATAAATTTGGAACGAATGCACTGAAGATGAATTTTTCGGGACAAAACGTTTAAATCTGGTTCGGGCTGAGGCAGTAAGGTATTGGAGGTCACGAAGGCTTGCAAAAAATGTAACAAAATTTCTAGCGACGTATTTAAAAAAGTTGAGGATGGTCCTGGAGAGACGAAACGTTACATATAAAAATTGATTGTGCTATTCGATAGAGGGCAAAAAGTGGCCCTCAGAAAGTGATCTTCTTTTTTCAATATTAGCTCAAACAAGGCTGAAATGAAACAAAAACGGATTTCCAAAATTTCGTTTTTTTTCAAATATTTCAAAAACTAATCATGTTAGCTTTGATTTTTTCCAGGATCCCTGTAGTGAGAAACGAATTTGTAACAGCTTGTATAGTTCAGGCATGTAGAAATACAATACAAGTTACATTTTCTATCAATTTGAAAAATTAAACGTTTATTTTTTCTTTTTCTGAAACATTTTTAAAATGGTACTTAGCTTGTTTTAACATTAAAGGATTAAAAAAAATTAAAAAATTGAGATGAAAGTTTTAATGTGTATAAGTAATATACATATTATTAATATATATTATATATTATATTATTATTATTATTCTTTCAATTATACTATCTTTGTATGAGCTGTACAGAATATTTTTTCTGTGTGGTTTAATAGCGTTATGACTAAGCGTTATAAGCAAAATATGTTTGTTTGTTCCTGGGCTATTGCCAGATATAATTTTATTTTTTCATCATTATTTCACCACCCTGTATCTTCTTAAATCGTTAACCGAACATGAGATACATTTATCAACTAGTTATTATTCTAATATTCTTAGACCCGGTACTTTGAGTCTTGATTAAAGCTTGATTAGCTAATCAGGCGATTAGACTGTGATTATATTTTATAAAATAAATGTGTATATGTACAGTCTAATCGCCTGATCAGTTAATCAAGATTAAACCGAGACTCAAAATACCGGGCCTTATATTTATGTTATTGAAATATGAATACTGAAAGAATTATGAATATATAAAATGAGCAATACACATCAACAAATAACCCAGATAAGTTATTTATTATTTTATTGTATACGAGTGCATGACTGCATAACAATAGGCTGTATTGTTAAATGTCAGTAAAATAATTTTGTTGGAACAGCAATACAGTACTATTACAATAGGACATATGCTAATGAATTACATATCAATGTAGAATTTTATATTTTAAAATAATTTATTCCTAAAATCTCCGACAATTATTTAAGAAATTTTATATGACAATGGATCTGTAAAGCAAATGCATGATAAAATTAATTAGATATATTTAAGTACTTATTCCGTAAGTCATAATTTTTCACCTATAATATTCAATATTACCTCAATTATTTAAGTATTTGTGGCACAATATTATTTCTGTATTTATTTATAAAAACAAATTTAAAAAATCAATTTATTTCCTTTATCAATACGGATAGATCTGTTTACGTAACTTTTACTTTACGACAATATACAGGGTGTAACTTTGAGTGGGGGTTATATTTATACAGAGGCTACCTTTGTTTTCTCAAATGCAATCGCAAAAACTGATTTATTTATCCCTTTTGAGTAACTTTCATAAGTCGCTGCTGGACAAGTTAGTATGACCTTAAACAATGGTTAGTCGCATACACTTAGGAACTGCAGTATGCATGACCAAATCTCATAATTTAAAAGAAAAGTTATTAAAAAGCACATTTCCATATCACCCGCCGTGAAGTACTGTTCTTTGGTTTCACATAGGAAAAAAAAATAGGTATATAGGAAGTTATTACTTATAGTCTCGATTTCTACATGGGTGCGGAGTGTACACAATTGTACAGGATGTACCTAGGTTAAGGTTTAATGCACAGGTTGCGTAACATTTAACGTATAGGATGTACGTAGGTTAAGGTTTAATGCACAGGGTGTACATAAGTAAATATTTATCTTACAGGGTGTACCTAGGTTAAGGTTTAATGCACACGTTGTGTAACATTTAATGTACAGGATGTAGGTACATAAGTAAATATTTAACGTACAGGGTGTACATATGATTTAATGTACAGGTTGTTTGGTGTATAAGCTGTACCTAATATGAGAGTTAATGTACATGTCATGCAATAGTGTCATGTCATGCGCAGGGTGCACGACGAATATAGTGGATAGAATACTCTTCCGACCAATATTACTCTATTCACTGATACTGTAGTTGTTAATAATTATGCATGATATTCTTGACTGCATTGTGTACATGGCGTATGCAAGAATTCTTTTTGGAGATGTTATATGCCTAATTATTTCAATCGGGTGAGCCAAAACAACTTGCTTGGTAACGTCATCTGAAATATGTTGTCCTTTAAAGGTTGAACCATGGGCAAGCACCGGAGTCGTAGGAGTCCGTCATCTGAACGAAATAGCCGGAAACGGTCTAAACGTGAGAATAGAACTTCAAAGGACAGAAGTTCTCGGCCAGAGCGAAGTGATAGATCTAGAAGTCCCCACCGTTCTCGTATACAAAGTTCACCTAAACCATCTAGCACTTCAACGGACACTAGATTAGAGCTCCTGGAACAACTAGTAACCAGATTATCAAGAGGTGACAGCTATGGTACTGACCATCGTGAACAATCTTTATGAAATACCGTTAAATCCGATTGCATCCCCATATTTGAACCTGGAAATCCCAACAATCAATCCGAAAAATGGATCATGAAATTGGAACAATAATATTAACGGATGGGACGAGAATCGAACCCTAGTCTGATATGTTATAATTGTCAAGAAACAGGACATCCGTATTTTAAGTGTCCTAGACGAAAAATAAAATGCTTTAGTTGTAATCAGTTTAGTCACACTAAAGAAAAATGTGATAAGAAGCCCAATTCGGTATTAACATGTATAAATAATAATTCCAATGAATGTTACTTCATCAATTGCAAAGTAAACGAGAAAACTATGAAGGCATTGATGGATATGGAATGTTCGGCTGTGATAATTAGAAAAGAAAATGCTGAAGATGCTGGGTTATCCCTGACCACCATGATACTCCATGGCTATAACAATGGGACAGCCACTGGGACTGAATACCATATAGCTCACCATAGATCTAGCTTCAGATGAAGTCGAAACTCTTGTTGTGGATAACCATGTGCAAGCGATACCCATAATAGTTGGTCAATCATTAATCAACAAGAAGAATAGACTCATTTTGGTGCAAAATAACACCGCTAGAATAATGTACGAAGATTTCCTACTATTGCCTGACCTGGATGTAAACTCATCATCGACTAAATTCAAACTATTGGCCAAAAATATTACTGTTATTCTGGAAAATAGTATGTTCAATGTAGAGATATTCTGTGGGATTACATAGGTGACAACATTGCATTGGACGTTGCATAACATCGTCACAAAACCCCATAATTTCGATTTCACTTTCAACGAATGATCAATAAGGTTCTGGGATCACTCAGATTTTCAACAGCCATGGTTTACATGGATGATATACTAATTCCAACTAGTACCATAGTAGTTGGTTTGGAAAACATACAAATTGTGCTTAGAGAGGCGAAACTTACGTTACGCCTGAGCAAATGCAACTTCTTTCAGACACAGATTGAATACTTGAGCATGAGATAAGCTCAGATGGAATTAAGCCAGGTAGACGAAAAACAAATGCCATTGACAACTTTCCAACTCCTAGGAACGTGCACGAAGTGCGAGTTTTTAGGCCTGGCTAGCTATTTTCGAAAATATATTGAAGGATTTTCCTTCCTTCCTTTAACGCAGCTAACAAAAAAGGACTCGACATTAAAGTGGGAAGGTGCAC